AGTTATATGGCAAAATGTATATGGTTGATAGTAACTCGCATCAGAAAAAGTGCACAATCTTTTTCCTAAGCCCATCACATCAACTTTGAGGTATTCTAATGGTAATATACAATCTTCAGAATAATCAGTATGAGTATGATTGCGGCAGTCCAGTAAATTACGAAGTTATATGGAAAAATCTATATGGTTGATAGGAATTTGCGTCAGGAAAAGTGCACAATCTTTTTCCTAAGCCCATCACATCAACTTTGAGGTATTCTAATGGTAATATACAATGTTTAGAATAATCAGTATGAGTATGATTGCGGCAGTCCTGTAAATTACGAAGTTATATGGCAAAATGTATATGGTTGATGGTAACTCGCATCAGGAAAAGTGCACAATCTTTTTCCTAAGCCCATCACATCAACTTTGAGGTATTCTAATGGTAATATACAATCTTTAGAATAATCAGTATGAGTATGATTGCGGCAGTCCAGTAAATTACGAAGTTATATGGCAAAATGTATATGGTTGACCTAACTATATAATAATCATGCTCTAACCACACGATCACAGGCGATAGGATAGATGAATACCCATACATCTATCCTCTCACCTGTGATCGTGTGGTTCATTGAGGTAAGTAAGTGAGTTTACTTTACTCAAGGAAGCCTTAAATGTCTAATGGTAGTCCATCATAATATTATTATGGTATAACGTCTTATTCGTATGTTGTTTATAACATATTACCATAAACTAACAAACTTAGCGTAGGGAAAAAAGATTTAATTCAACCAAGGTCAGGGGCTTCATAAGGAAGTGTTGAAATTGAAAACGGCGCCACGCCCGGCTTGGAATTTCTCCCCGAGACTACAAAATAAGTATGAAATACATGGGCTGACGGGGCCGTCTCACAGCTTTGATCTTGCGCTGACCGACATGGTTTCGCTCCCGTCCCTACTTTCTCTCCCTATAGTGTCACCCTAAATAAGCACATACTTTATTATGCCTTAGTAATTAATGTCAACTCGGAAATAATGCCGATAGCTGAAATGTTGACCGAGACACATGATATAACAACAATTGCAGATTTCTTTTTGTCCTACAAGTACAATTGTTTAAAATCTAATAGAAAACTGTGGCCAATTATTAAAAGAATCGTATGTGACTGGAGTTGGGCAATCATGATTGGCATTGTCACAGCGTGGAATACAATGAATTTACTACAGTATTTGAAATTTTGTTACGACTTATCCATGGGATCAATTGCACCTCAGGATCACAGAGATAAGGTTACTATACATGCATGCTGCGCACATTTTATGAAGACTAGTGTCCCTGTTGCTCGAATTCGAGCAATTTCTAAGTATTAGAGGCGTTATTTTAAAAGGAATAACGTTCATAATTTCTGAATACTTTAAAGGATTCGATTCAAAGATTATGGAAATATTCAAGATGTACATAAGAGAATATATCAATTTATCCAGGCTCTCTCGCTTTTTTCCATTGTAATATTTACGCCAACCCGAATTCAAATACAGTAGTAAATATTTCATTTCAACCAAGTCAGTAAATGTTTGTAGCAAACTGTAAAATTAGCAAACTTATTGACTGTTTAAAATTAACATATGTTTTTCTTCTCACTTTTAATTTTTGACAACAGCTGGAGTTGCATAACAATTTTTGTTTCCCATGTTAATCTTATGGAGAAATACAAAACTTTAAAGGGCCCCAGGGCCTCACTCTCTGATTATTTGCATAAAAAGAAAGTTTCCTGCACAACTTCACGTTACGCTCTTTCCAATGACACCAAAAACATGTCAATTGGTTCAGTAGTTTCGGAGGAGTAATTGTCACAAAATACATGCTTGCGTATTAAATAAGTATAGATGATAAGTGATCGCATAGCAAAAGAACACATTAATAGTAAAACTGTAAAAAAGTTTATCATGAATGTAATGGCTAATCTTGTGATGTGTGATGATATATGTATGATAGAGGAAATTTATAAAAGCTTTGCTGCAGTTATTTTAAGTAAAAATAATTATGATATTACTTCAATGGCATTTAACAACTTACAAAATTTGACCGAAAATCTTGACTCCGAGTTTTTGTATTTTATGGAATGTACACTTGATTGTAGTACAGAGAATGTTATGCCTACAAGTGAACATATTACAGAAATAACCGGTCGCACTAAAGTTGATAGTCCTTTTTTCAAAAAATTCGAAACGGTGGCAGAACACATATCCAAACAACTAGATTGCGCAAGGAAAATGGTAAGTAATAATAATTCCCCCAACATTTACTACTGCCCGTCATTTTTTGATTATTTCCAGAAACACCTAATCCCTTTGTTACCCTTTTGGACTGGGTTGATGATAGGTTTGCACCAAGGGCCCGGTGATAAACCCTGATGAGCACTTTTTCCTGATGCGAGTTCCTATCAACCATATACATTTTGCCATATAACTTCGTAATTTACTGGACTGCCGCAATCATACTAATACTGATTATTCTAAACATTGTATATTACCATTAGAATGGCTCAAAGTTGATGTGATGGGCTTAGGAAAAAGATTGTGCGGCACTTTTCCTGATGCGAGTTCCTATCAACCATATACATTTTGCCATATAACTTCGTAATTTACTGGACTGCCGCAATCATAATCATACTGATTATTCTAAAAATTGTATATTACCATTAGAATACCTCAAAGTTGATGTAATGGGCTTAGGAAAAAGATTGTGCACTTTTCCTGATGCGAGTTACCATCAACCATATAGATTTTTCCATATAACTCCGTAATTTACTGGACTGCCGCAATCATACTCATACTGATTATTCTAAACATTGTATATTACCATTAGAATACCTCAAAGTTGATGTGATGGGCTTAGGAAAAAGATTGTGCACTTTACCTGATGCGAGTTACCATCAACCATATAGATTTTTCCATATAACTTCGTAATTTACTGGACTGCCGCAATCATACTCATACTGATTATTCTAAACATTGTATATTACCATTAGAATACCTCAAAGTTGATGTAATGGGCTTAGGAAAAAGATTGTGCACTTTTCCTGATGCGAGTTACCATCAACCATATAGATTTTGCCTTATAGCTTCGTAATTCACTGGACTGCCTCAATCATATTTATACTGAGTATTCTACACATTGTATATTACCATTAGAATACCTCAAAGTTGATGTGATGGGCTTAGGAAAAAGATTGTGCACTTTACCTGACGCAAATTCCTATCAACCATATACATTTTGCCATATAACTTCGTAATTTACTGGACTGCCGCAATCATAATCATACTGATTATTCTAAAAATTGTATATTACCATTAGAATACCTCAAAGTTGATGTAATGGGCTTAGGAAAAAGATTGTGCACTTTTCCTGATGCGAGTTACCATCAACCATATAGATTTTTCCATATAACTTCGTAATTTACTGGACTGCCGCAATCATACTCATACTGATTATTCTAAACATTGTATATTACCATTAGAATACCTCAAAGTTGATGTGATGGGCTTAGGAAAAAGATTGTGCACTTTACCTGACGCAAATTCCTATCAACCATATAGATTTTGCCTTATAGCTTCGTAATTCACTGGACTGCCTCAATCATATTTATACTGAGTATTCTACACATTGTATATTACCATTAGAATACCTCAAAGTTGATGTGATGGGCTTAGGAAAAAGATTGTGCACTTTACCTGACGCAAATTCCTATCAACCATATAGATTTTGCCTTATAGCTTCGTAATTCACTGGACTGCCTCAATCATATTTATACTGAGTATTCTACACATTGTATATTACCATTAGAATACCTCAAAGTTGATGTGATGGGCTTAGGAAAAAGATTGTGCACTTTTCCTGATGCAAGTTACTATCAACCATATACATTTTGCCATATAGCTTCGTAATTTACTGGACTGCCGCAATCATATTTATACTGAATATTCTACACATTGTATATTACCATTAGAATACCTCAAAGTTGATGTGATGGGCTTAGGAAAAAGATTGTGCACTTTACCTGACGCAAATTCCTATCAACCATATAGATTTTGCCTTATAGCTTCGTAATTCACTGGACTGCCTCAATCATATTTATACTGAGTATTCTACACATTGTATATTACCATTAGAATACCTCAAAGTTGATGTGATGGGCTTAGGAAAAAGATTGTGCACTTTTCCTGACGCAAATTCCTATAAACTATATAGATTTTGCCTTATAGCTTCGTAATTCACTGGACTGCCTCAATCATATTTATACTGAGTATTCTACACATTGTATATTACCATTAGAATACCTCAAAGTTGATGTGATGGGCTTAGGAAAAAGATTGTGCACTTTTCCTGACGCAAATTCCTATAAACTATATAGATTTTGCCTTATAGCTTCGTAATTCACTGGACTGCCTCAATCATATGTATACTGAGTATTCTACACATTGTATATTACCATTAGAATACATCAAAGTTGATGTGATGTACTAAGGAAAAAGATTGTACACTTTTTCCTGATGCGAGTTCCTATCAACAATATAGATTTTGCCTTATAGCTTCGTAATTCACTGGACTGCCTCAATCATATTTATACTGAGTATTCTACACATTGTACATTACCATTAGAATACCTCAAAGTTGATGTGATGGGCTTGGGAAAAAAGATTTTGCACTTTTTATGTTCGGAGTTTTAATTGATCGCGTTATGTTAAGCCATAGCTACGTATAATGTACAGTACGGTCTCAAATATGCCTTTTAAAATACGTCAATTAATTAGTTTTAACTTGTATACACGTTTTATCAATGTATAATTGACATTATATAAATATTTAAACATCATTTAGCACCGTATTGTCATTGAATTGTGTTTCCGACATCCCTGCAAAACACGTTTGTGGCGTCCGCAGGCGTACCAACCCACATCTATTACAAACCGAAAAAGCGCCGATGAAAAGAGCCGCTAACTTCACGACGGTAAAGTAATAATATCCAACCAAATCAAATCCAATTGTCTCATTGTCTGCAATCAGCAGAGCTGACAGCTGAGCAATGTTGTTGTTTAATGTTTTGTCATTGTTAGGTTATGTTAGGCCTATACCTGTTTGGACTTTCAAATCTAAACATTTGATCATAGCACATTAATGTTTTTTATAGGTGGCTTAAAATCGTGTTCAAGAAAATTTGGTCAGTTTATGATTGGTACATTAAAATTTGTAAGCATTACACATGTGATTGTTGAACACATAGGTGATTTTGTAATAGTAAGTATAGCCTTAGACTTAATTTTACAAACTTTATACAAATTAAGACCTTTTACGTACTTTGTGGTTGATAGGTGTGCTATTGTGGGCTGCACTTTACTTATCAGCGTGAAACTGGCAATAGAACAGCAATAACCCATTCCACTTCTCCTACCGCCCCTCCGACGAATATACGTCACAGTAAAACGTCACAACAATGATGGCGTCACAGCAGGATTCGTCACAAAGCAGCTGACATAACCTCCAAAATATCAAGTAGCGGGAACTTTTTTTGACGAAACACGGCAAGGATGGTGTTTGGCGGTACACGCACAGCGTTGATTATGAAGGTTGACTAATATGTATGTATAAAACTGTACAATACGCTGAATGAAATTAAACTACTATTTCATTATTTAGAGAATAAAGGACAATATTAAAGACGTTTGAGGTTATTTAAAGTAGTAACCACCCTCAATTTTTTCCAAATGATAAAATTATTAACTGACTACCATAAAAACCCATGCTGGCATCTCCCCTTAAGTTTTTCTCTCGTTTTTCTTTTGATATATGTTAAACACATGGTTATGAACAAAAAATGACGTATTCAAGGTTAGCCCACTCTTTACTAGTGTAGCTATGTAGCCTGGAATGCACTTCATGTGACCTTGATTGCACGACGACGCTATTACTAAAATTCATGTTTTATATGTCTATTTACATTATGTAGAGCATATTGCACAACACTAAGCACTTTTTAGCTAATTAAGTAGTTACCGCATCGATTTGAATCCAAATGAAAAATTACCTAAAATTACTATTTGACTACCATAAAAACCTATTGCTGGCAATTCCCCTTAAATTTTTCTTCAGTTTTTCTTTTGATACGCGTTAAACACATGGTTATGAACAAAAAATTACCTCTTCTAGGTTAGCCCACTCTTTAATAGTGTAGCTATGCTATCCTGGAATGCACTTCGTGTGACCTCGGCTGCACGCCGATGCTATTACAAAAATGTATGTTCTAAATGTCTATTTACATTATTTATCTGGTATTGAACAATACTGGGCACTTTTAAGCTTATTAATGTAGAAATCACCTTGATATTAATACAAACTAATAAACTACCTAAAATTACTAACTAATTATCGTAAAAACCTATTGCTGGCATCTCCTCTTAAATTGTTTTCTCGTTTTTCTTTTGATATGTGTTAAACACATTGTTATGAACATAAAATGACGTAGTATAGGTTAGCCCACTTTTTAGTAGTGTAGCTATGCAGCCTGGAATGGACCTCATAATAGAATAATAAAATACCATAAATTTCTATTGCTGGCCTATCCCCTTAGCACGATTTTCTTTATTCTTTCAAAATATGTTTAATACATCATTACGAACTAGAAAACACGTCGCCTAGGTTAGCCCACTCCTTTATAGTTGAGATAGGTAACTTTGAATTAAACTGGTGTGACCTCGGTTCCATAAGAATCTAATTTACTAAAAATCAACTTTTTCGTTTATACATGTTAGTTACACCTTAATAAACAATCCCTAACACCATTTCGATAAAAAATATTATTATTTATCAATTTAATGCATTATTTAAAATCTGCCTCAATAGAACAATAAATTACCATAAATTTCTATTGCTGGCCTATCCCTTTGGCACGATTTTCTTTATTCTTTCAAAATATGTTTATTACATCATTACGAACTAGAAAACATGTCGCTTATGTTAGCCCACTCCTTTATAGTTGAGATAGGCCATTTTGATTGTAGCTGGTGTGACCTCGGTTCCATAAGAACCTAATTTACTAAAACTCAACTTTTTTCGTTTATACATGTTAGTTACACCTTAATAAACAATACCTAACGCTATTTCGATAAACAATATTATTATTTATCAATTTAATGCATTATTTAAAATCTGCCTCAATAGAACAATAAATTACCATAAATTTCTATTGCTGGCCTATCCCATTAGCACGATTTTCTTTATTCTTTCAAAATATGTTTATTACATCATTACGAACTAGAAAACACGTCGCCTAGGTTAGCCCACTCCTTTATAGTTGAGATAGGCCATTTTGATTGTAGCTGGTGTGACCTCGGTTCCATAAGAACCTAATTTACTAAAAATCAACTTTTTCGTTTATACATGTTAGTTACACCTTAATAAACAATCCCTAACACCATTTCGATAAAAAATATTATTATTTATCAATTTAATGCATTATTTAAAATCTGCCTCAATAGAACAATAAATTACCATAAATTTCTATTGCTGGCCTATCCCTTTGGCACGATTTTCTTTATTCTTTCAAAATATGTTTATTACATCATTACGAACTAGAAAACATGTCGCTTATGTTAGCCCACTCCTTTATAGTTGAGATAGGTAACTTTGAATTAAACTGGTGTGACCTCGGTTCCATAAGAATCTAATTTACTAAAAATCAACTTTTTCGTTTATACATGTTAGTTACACCTTAATAAACAATCCCTAACACCATTTCGATAAAAAATATTATTATTTATCAATTTAATGCATTATTTAAAATCTGCCTCAATATAACAATAAATTACCATAAATTTCTATTGCTGGCCTATCCCTTTGGCACGATTTTCTTTAATCTTTCAAAATATGTTTATTACATCATTACGAACTAGAAAACATGTCGCCTAGGTTAGCCCACTCCTTTATAGTTGAGATAGGCCATTTTGATTGTAGCTGGTGTGACCTCGGTTCCATAAGAACCTAATTTACTAAAAATCAACTTTTTCGTTTATACTTGTAGTTACACCTTAATAAACAATCCCTAACACCATTTCGATAAAAAATATTATTATTTATCAATTTAATGCATTATTTAAAATCTGCCTCAATACTGTAGAACAATAAATTACCATAAATTTCTATTGCTGGCCTATCCCTTTGGCACGATTTTCTTTATTCTTTCAAAATATGTTTATTACATCATTACGAACTAGAAAACACGTCGCCTAGGTTAGCCCACTCTTTAGTAGTGTTGCTATGTAGCCTGGAATTGTCCTCATGTGACCTTGGTTGCACGACGACGCTATTACACAACTTAATGTTTTATATGTCTTTTTACATTATTTAGCTGGTATTGAACAATAGTAGGCACCTTTTAGCTTATTGAAGAAGAAACTACCTCGATTTTAATCCAAAATTTAAAAATTACCTAAAATTACTAACTGGCTACCACAAAAACCTATTACTGGCATCTCCTGTTAACTTTTTTTCTAATTATTCTTTTGATATGTGTTAAACACATGGTTATGAACAAAAAATGACGTAGTATAGGTTAGCTCACTCTTTAGTAGTGTAGCCAAACAGCCTGGAATGGACCTCATGTGACCACGGTTGCACGACGATGCTATTACTCAAATTTTTGTTTTATATGTCTATTTACATTATTTAGAGGGTAATGAACAATACTAAGCAGTTTTTAGCTAATTAAAGTGGTAACCACCCTGATTTTAACCTAAATTGAAAAATTAACTAAAATTACTAACTGATTACCATAAAAACCTATTGCTGGCATCTCCTCTTAAATTTTTTTCATGTTTTTCTTTTGATATGTGTTGAACACAGTGTTATGAACTTAAAATGACGTGTTATAGGTTAGCCCACTTTTTAGTAGTGTTGCTATGCAGCCTGGAATGGACCTCTTGTGACCTCGGTTGCACGACGACGCTATGACACAAATTAATGTTTTATATGTCTATTTCATTATTTAAAGGGTAATGATTAATACTTAGCAGTTTTTAGCTAATTATAGTAGTAACAACCTTGATTTTAACCTAAATTAAAAAATTAACTAAAATTACTAACTGATTACCATAAAAACCTATTGCTGGCATCTCCTCTTAAATTTTTTTCTTGTTTTTCTTTTGATATGTGTTAAACACATTGTTATGAACATAAAATGACGTAGTATAGGTTAGCCCACTTTTTAGTAGTGTAGCTATGCAGCCTGGAATTGACCTCATGTGACCTCGGTTGCACGACGACGCTATTACACAACTTAATGTTTTATATGTCTTTTTACATTATTTAGCTGGTATTGAACAATACTAGGCACTTTTTAGGTTATTGAAGTAGAAACCAGCTCGATTTTAATCCAATATAAAAAATTACCTAAAATTACTAACTGACTACCATAAAAACCTATTGCTAGTTAGGTCAGATTTAGTAATTTTAGGTAATTTTTTAATTTAGGTTTAAATTAAGGTTGTTACCACTTTAATTAGCTAAACACTGCTTAGTATTGTTCATTACCCTCTAAATAATGTAAATAGACATATAAAACAATAATTTGAGTAATAGCATCTTCGTGCAACCGAGGTCACATGAGGTCCATTCCAGGCTGTATAGCAAAACTACGAAAGAGTGGGCTAACCTAGGGTACGTCATTTTATGTTCATAACAATGTGTTTAACACATATCAAAAGAAAACCGAGAAAAAAATTTAAGAGGAGATGCCAGCAATAGGTTTTTATGGTAGTCAGTTAGTAATTCAAGTTAATTTTTTAATTTGGATTAAAATCGAGCTGGTTTCTACTTCAATAACCTAAAAAGTGCCTAGGTCACACCAGCTACAATCAAAATGGCCTTTCTCAACTATGAAGGAGTGGGCTAACACAGTGCCGGATTTAGGGTACTTGAGGCCCTAGGCCAAATTACTTGAGCGGCCCTCCCCCTCCCCCTGTGGTGGAAATTCCTTGCAATCGCGGATATAATCGTGAATATCTCTTATGCATCAAGGGGACATCATCATTGACACCCGTGATCGTGGATGAAATCGTGGACATCTCTCCTAAATCAAGTCAAAGCAATCATAGGTATACGAGAGCGTGGCAAAATCATGAACATCCCCACGGGCTGCAACAAAGGGACATTATCACCGTCACCCGCGACCGCAGTAAAATCGTTAACATCTCCCGTGGCCCGCAATCACAGGGACATCATCATCAACACCCACGGCTGCGGCA